TGTTAATTGATTATAACTTAAGGATTAGATTATCCGTCTGTTCGCTGACATTATCTCCCTGACAGGTACCTGGTAGATAGGGAGAGTACAGTGTAAGATTTAATATTATTTAAGTGCTGTTCTTTCCAAGGGAGCGCAGATTGATGAAAAACAGGCAACAGTGATAGAGATTCATGTTGTAGTGATCCCCGTTAACCCCTTTGGGTTTCAAAAGATGCTGATTCTCTCCCTGTAACTTAGACTTCTCTAAAGGAAGAGAGGAAAGTTGAGAAACCTCTTAGGATTTCCTTTTGGAGGGAGTGGAACTTCAAAGTAAGTTCTGATGTCAGAGCTACCGATTTTCCGATGAGGTGCTGATTTTCCCCATAGTTCACTGAATCCTACTCCTCATCACTCACTCTCCAGGAAAAGTTGGGCAGCATGGTAATTAAATCATTCTTTCGTATTAACATAGGCACTCAGAGGAGAATTTATCTTCTCTAGGCTCTACTGTACTAGGAGTGCTGTAGTGTCCTCAGGAATCTTGTAGGAGAAGGTAGAAAAGTAGTTTGTACTTTTTTTTTTCTTTGACAGCCAGAGGGGAGATAAGGGTGATTCTGTTGAAGACTGGGGTGGCGGGGGCTCTTATTCTGAGAACAGTGATGTGTGTATATTAGATACTTGTTGTCTGTTGTCCATCTATTATTCATCCATTGCCATCCATCCATCCATCCATCCGTCCATCCATCCATTCATCCATCCACTCATGTTTCCATCTATGTTCCCTCTACTATGTCTCAGTTGTTTTGCTGGGGGCTACAGTTGAATGCATATTTGAGGGAACTCAAGGGCTTTGCATTTAGAGTGGATAAGATTTTAGCTCACTGAACCTAACTTTTCTAAATTTCTTTACTCTCTTCTTTAAATTACTGTTTTGAAAGTAAAATGAGGCAATGTTCTTTCCTTCCCTTCTTTTGCATTCACCTTACCTACTCCACAAATATTGTTTGAGCTCCAACAACATGACAGGCACCTTACTAGGCAGTGGGAATGCAAAGGAGAGTGGAGATGCAAGAGCTTCTTCCCGTGGCTTTTAAAGTTTAAACTTGTATTTTAATTAAGGGATATTTTGAAAATATATGAAAGACAGTAAAGGTGTAATTATATTGATACTCACAATTCAACTCAATTATGTAGCAGTCCCGTTATGATCCCTCAAATCGAAGACTTAATATGAATGACTGGATCGCTCGTTGCACACCTGATACTCAGCGCTTCTCCTACGAGGCTGCTGTGAGTGACCACCGGGATCCGTCTGGTTGTAGATGAGACAGATCATGGGTGCTGGGCTGCGCTTGGGAACGCAGATTGAGGTAGCTTTGTGAATTGCTGTCTAAGTTTTCCCTCTGATCTCTTTTCCTTTGCTTCTGAGACTTTTGCTTATGGGCACGCACCAAGCACTGTGATTTAGTAAAACAAACTATTATGATGCCAGGCTTCTTACTGAAACCTTGTGTTTATGGACTCTTGTTGCTTTATAGTCAAATCTGAATTCTATCTTGCCTTCAAAACTCTGTGTAATCTGACCCCTGCCTTGCTTTTTATTCTTATTTCCTGCTTCTTCTCGTTTCCTGAAGTCAGTGCGATGTTAAATCATCTTTTCCCACTTACTATGCTCTCTCTTATCTCTGGATCTTCACCCATTCCCTCCCTCTTTGAGATCTGGAGTTTTCATCATTACTTGTTTGTAGTGGCCTTTTCTGTTCCTCCAAGCTCCACTTTCTGAGTTAAGTAAACTTAATATATGCACTCAAACCTTTAGAGCATGCATTTGAATCCAGGAAATTTCCTTTAAAGCTTCTGCTGTTAAGATCACCACTTGCTGATAGTACATTCTATGGAAAAGTTCCCTAAAAATCTCTGAATCTTAACTGTTTCATGGGTGAAATGGCAAAGTGTTCTCTGGTTGGCTGTGAGAAAAACATTACATGTATACATGTATTGAATAAAATGTTTACCAGGTAATATGTAGTTAATACGTGTGGTAGTAACAATAACAACAGCAAATATTTTCTGTTTATTTGTGTTTATCTCCCACTAACCTATGGGTCTTTGAGGGCAGAGACCATGTCTGTGTTGTTTGTAATCATATTTTGTGCGTATTTAATCAGTGAATGGATGAGGTATTTTTGTACCACAGCCAGGCCAACCAGTCTTACCATCCCAGCCAGTTTGCATGTGGCCCTTATGCTGCTCTAATTAGCAGAAGCAGCTCTTGGGAGAGATGGTCCTCACACTTTCAGATGATGCACAAATGTGTGAAAATGTGGTGCGTTTGGGATACCTTTGGTACCATAATCTCACAGAGAGCGTCCTGGGGTGGGATATATTGACAAGAACAGTCTTGATGCATTGAAGTGAGCAGGTTTTAACAGATATGTGAAGACCAACCAAAAAAGCAGCAGCTTATCATCAGGTATTCCGAAGCCTGAGGTCCAGATCTGGAGTTTTATGAGCATTTGCTGCCTGTAATTGCTATTCTTGCATACCCACAGGTCTTTTATTTGTAATGTCAAGTTGGTTACCTGAACAAGCCATGTGCAAGAGTGTGTTTGAGTGTGTGTGATCCAAATTACAGGATGAAATGAATGAATATAGAAATGCAGTACTCTGCCTTTCAAGATCATGAGGGCTCTGGATTTTGCTGAGATTTGCTAAAAATAAATTTCAGAAGAAAGAGGAAGCACACAGTGTTTGCTAAGAGTTCTTTCAGGATGGAATCTTGGGAACTTTTCACTCAGCTTGCAACTGGGCTTTATTATAGTGTTTTCAGATAGTCGTATATAGTTGAGGATGCTATGAAGTAAAAATGGTTTTAGTTATTGTACACTTAATATACCAACTTTCATTTTTCTCTGTTTTTCAAATAGATCATCTCAGATTCTAAAACCAATTCTGTAGGGTAGATGTTTTATCCCCATATTAGAAGCAAAGTAACTGAAGCTCAAATAAATGTGTTAATTTCTCCAGTTTATATAGTTAGAGAGACCTGAGTCTTAGCTTTGTGTTTTTTCAAAAACCTATGCTTTTCCCTTCTCCCTCAGTTATTTCTAAACACAAAGGATCATCAAAACCTGGGAGTACGATACAATTTACTAATCAGAGGCTATTGATAAATATAAGGAAAATGTGGTGCAAATAAGTTCTAATATAAGTAATAGTAGCAGCATTTTGAATGTCTTAATTTTTAATAGCAAAAATGTGATGGGCAAGAGTGACACATACCAATACCTCTGTGTCTTAGTGATGCCTGTATATGAATGGAAACGTCCATGAATCATATTTTATTCAAAATTTTCTTTTTTAATAAAAATGCTAATGGAAATGTTAAAATGCACATAAATTAAAATGGTCATAAATTAGGATTAATATCATATTAATGAATTATAATCCTACATTCATTAAGATAAAGTGGCATTTCAATATTTGCTCTTGTTAATAAGTTCAATACAATAAATGAAAGGGATACATTTTGAGATTCAGTAAGTATTTGATGTAATCTTATGCTTTAGCTTTTTAAAGTATTCAAAAGTAAAATAGGAGATCTAGATGCATTTGGATTCTTTGTTGCTGTTTTTATGTCTTTAAAAAAATCTTTTCATTTATTGAGGCACTAAATACAATTTAAATTGGCAAAGAACGCAATCACTGAATGAAAGTGATCCCAAGAGAATGCAATGTCTTTTGAGCTTCTAGGAGTTTCTTTGCACAAGACTTTTTTTTCAATATATACATATGTATATTTTTTAAGGAGCAAGTGTTTGAAATCTCCTGATGCAAGAACTATAACTATACTGGCATTTAAGTAACTGGATTAAGCTGAAAATATGTACATTTGAGCAGTATTTTGCAAATATAATTCAGTTAATTTTCCTTTTAAAAATGCAAACTAAAAATATATATATTCTTGTTTTATTTTAGTTTTTTTAACAGGAGTCAACATAGTATAAAAAAGAAGCACCCTGTATCAGGAGTCTCCCTCTAAGGAATAAACGGTGAAAATTTGAAAGCCAGGGATTCTGTTTTCCCCAGTACCTACTAAAATGTTTGAGGCAGAGTAGGTGTTCAATAAATATTTGTTGCCATGATCTAAGGTGGATCTGCATCCCTGCTGCGAAGTTTTCATTTCTCTAAGAAGTCCCATTTCTGGAAAATGTGCTCCCATAATCTGGCCTCAGTCATCTTTGTGAAATGGGAATAATTTTCCTGGACCAGAAGAATTGTGTAAATCAAAGGGGAAAAAAAAGCCTTACATAAACATAAGATCTTAATATATATCAGATTATTAGAATTATTTCTGTTTTTATGAATAGAGCAGCCAGATCTGAGTTGAATTTTAGGTCTACTACACTTGATTCCATCAAAAGGAAACCTTGAAGATGTTATAATATGCCTTGTCAAACTTCCCTTTTCTCATGTTTCATATGATATATTCTAACTCAGTGACTTTTGGAAGAATTACGGGGATTATCATATGAGAAGTGATTCATATAGCTCTTGGCACACAGATAGTAACCCATAAAAGATAACTAATAATAATAACTTTAAATAAATGTATTAACAAATTAAAAAGCATACATGTATTTTTGTATTTTCTCCTGGTCTTTTTATCATTGTAAATGCATATCAGTTTATACTGAACAGTAAATGTATGAATAAATGGAAAGAATACATTTATTTTAGTGTTTTCTTCTCAATCTTTTTATCATTGTAAATGCGTATCAGTTTATACTGAACAGGCCAGAGTATATTTTTAAAGTGTTCAAACATATTTGTCTGAATTTCATTATATTTTACTTGATATGCATTCAGTTGCATAGACTCTTTGTACAGCTACTGTTAGCAGACATTGATGAAGTTACAATCAATGTAGAAAGAAACAACTTTATATTGAAACATGAGGTAGTAAAACATACTTTGCAAATTGCCACATCACTAACCAATGTCCCTTTTCGTTTTAGTTACATACAGACCTGGATCCTGGGAGCAAAAAAATCAAATATATCCTATCAGGCGATGGAGCTGGGACTATCTTTCAAATAAATGACATAACAGGAGATATCCATGCTATAAAAAGACTTGACCGCGAGGAAAAAGCTGAGTACACCCTAACAGCTCAGGCAGTGGACTGGGAGACAAATAAGCCTCTTGAGCCTCCCTCTGAATTTATTATCAAAGTTCAAGACATCAACGACAACGCACCAGAGTTTCTCAATGGACCCTATCATGCTACCGTGCCAGAGATGTCCATTTTGGGTATGTACGCTTCCAATTTCACAGAACTATTAAGAATCATCTTTAAAATAGCTCCTGGCATCAGGGATAGTGTGTGGCTGAATAAAAGACATTTATTACTGTCTTATCTCTAATTTGCATTTCCAAATCCCCTTTTTTGGCCTCAGTTCCACAGCTCAATAGCTTTAGTCCCTTAGTAATAGGAACTGACGAAGCCGTTTTATTAAAATATCTCTCCTTACACGACAGTACTTCAATAGGCTGAATTTGTATTCCTCTCATAGACTGTAGTTCGAGTATTGTTACTGAGGCGGATTTATCAAGATTTGTTCCAACATGCCAGACTAATCCTATTGATATTTTCTTGATGTTTAATTATTTGTTTGTATATATTCACATGCAGATGCAGCACACAGAGAAACAGAAAACCGTCTAGGTCTGTAGTCAGCCAGATATTGGATTGAGCTGGTGGGTCGCGTCTAGAGTGAATTAGGAAATCACAGTTACCAGAGGCTTCTGAGCTGTGGGCATCGTACTTTAACCGAACTTTTTAAAGGAGCATTGCTATCACCAAGGACTCACTCCCACTTTTTCTGAGCCATTGAAATATTCATTATACTTTACAGAACAGAATATATTTCAAAACATGATTTTCTACTTTTTCCTCCCCTTTTTGGATTTGTTTTATCCCCATACTCTGGCCTCGATAAAGGAAATCCCTGACCCCAGACTTTATACTAGAATAAAAGGTATTTTAGAGCTCTTCCTGGTCTGACAAAAGTAGTAGGTAGGATCCAAAATCCAGGGGATTAAGATCACTAAAGTCATTCCTAAGTGTGCAGTGGATGTAAGGGATACCCTAGTTTGTTTCAAATTGCATTTAAGACAGCCTATAAGGATACATGCTATGCAGCAAAATCACATAAATGAACAGCAGGTGAACAAGATGTGATAAATAAAACAACACAAGTGGAGATATAAATTGAAGGCCAAAATTAGGTAAATCGTTTGGCTTCATTTGATCTCTTCTTTCTTAACCCACAGTATAACTTCGGTAGATACACCCATTACAGCAGCAAATCAGAACTGACCTCAGGTCTTCACATTTTACCCATGTATTTCTCCTGCCAAGACTCCCCTTTTCTATCTCTTTTGTGAGGAATCCTATTATTATTTATTTTTTCCTTCTTATCAATATCAAATCACTCCTATGGCTGGCTGAAATGACACTTTTTCTAGGGAAACTTCTAAGTCTTTCTAGCAGGAATTTCTCTCTCTACCATCACTATTACCACAGGAAGAAACCCACAAACAAGCAAAAACACATTCATGTTTGTACTTCTTTTAAATTCTGACATGTAAATAGGGACTAAGAAATACTATATATTATTTTCTCTCTTTTTATTTTCCTCTTATTTGATCAACTTATTTAGGGCAGAGAACTTGCCTAATCCATCTTTTCATTCAGGTTTGTGTAAGATGGTTTTAAAGGGCTATTACCAGCTGTAATACATACAGAACACTTAATCTTAATTGCTAATGAATGAAGAACAGGAAAGCTGCTATTTTTGCCTCATTATTATGATTTCTACATCTTAATGGCCAAGTCGATATCTATTTATTGTAAATGTGTCAGAGGCTTCCATTCCTGTGTGTGTGAGTTATGTGCCTGATAAGTATGTTGAGGAAAAAAAGCCCCCAAACGTCTGCAAACTTCAAGGTCAATTTCAGCTAAGACAAAGAATTTAAAGATATTATTAGCTACATAATGCAATGTGTATGTGCACCTATGCATTTTTCCTCTATCTAAAGTATTTTTCTTGATAAGAGTGTAGCAACTAAAAGAAATAATCTACACTAACTTTACACAGTTATTTTTAAAAATGCTTAGCTTGTGACATCTCTTCTAAAAACCACATGGAATATGCTGCAGTTGAAAGTGTGGGTTTTGAAGTTAGGTGGATGAAATCTTGAATCCTGGTTCTATCCCTTATTATCTGGTTGACTTTGAAGTTCAAGGAGGTTAAACTGTTTCTTGTTTTCCTTAGCTACAATGCAAAGATAACAATTGCCATCTCGCTTTCATTGTTTGAGAACTGCGTGATAAAATACAAAGTCAGGGTGTGCCATGAAGTAAATAAGTGTTCAATAATTGGTTGTCGTGGTTTTAAAAATGATTTTTATTAATCGATTTCCCATCGTACCTTTGGACCTTTTCTCTGTATCGATTATACAGAGGTGTCTGGTTTCTGTTTGACTCCAGCCTCTCTGGTTAAAGAGAGGCAGAGGCAACTGCACTATTTTATTGTCAAGTGTGAATTATTCCCTTCATTTCCATGAAGGTGAATATCAGGATGAAGGTCGGCTCCTATCTCCTTTCTCTCCCCATTACCACTGTTCTCTCCCAGCCTGTCTCTTCCCTCCCCTCCTTCCTTCTTTCATTTTTCTTCCTTTGCTACTGCAGAAATGCCAACACCTGCACCTGTACACCCTGAAGAATGCCAGCAAGGACTGGGGGATTTCATTGTGCAGAAAGTGAAAAGTAAAATTCTAATTGAGAAATTTACCAATATTACATTGAAATGAATGTGATATTCAAGAACCGTCTGCCAGTTGACAAGCTGTCAGGACAAAACACACATATATATTTGCCCAAATGGCAGCCAAATTATTTTAGAAATATCATATTTGGAAGCTGTAGACAGAGCTCTTTTATATTCTACTGTGAATTTCAGAACTTGATGAGAATTCACTTTTATAGCAATACCACATAAAGAGTGATGTGCAAGCTTGTCTGGTTTTTACTGTGGATCCCAAACTAGCATCGTTGAAGTTGGTTTTTCAGTGAAAATGTGCCTACACTTATTAAGTTCCAGACACTTTAAATAGATATTTTTTTTTGGCTACTGGATATTAGAGTGAGGGATACTTAACCCTGATTGTGTGTCCACACCTGGGTTCAGGTAAAATGAACGTTGTATTTAGCTTCGAAGTAGAATCTCAGATTATTTGACTGCAGATTTTCTACTTGTGTTCGTGACATGACCCATCTAAGCCTCACCTTCTCTGTCTGTGTAGGGTGCACAAGCATCCCTACCTAAGAAAGTATGTTTGGAAAAATTCAATGATTATATTTCAATAACTTGGCATAGCATAGAGTTGGTGCTCAACTGATATTAGTTTCTTTACAAACATCCATTTTCAAGCTACTTCTGCTAGTATGATGCAATAAATTGCGTATAGGATATGAATGCCTTGGTCAATGAAAAATTGCTCGACAAGCCTTAACTTCATGTTTCGCAGTTGTACATGTTGGAATGAAGCCTATTTTATTCAAAAGGGCATATTAGTGAAGATGGGAATAAAAGGATCAGAAAGCCAAGGAGGGCTTAAGCTGGTGGGCATGATTGCATTGTTGAGGACACAGTTATATAAAACACAGCACTGGTGGTTTTCTTTGAGATTCAAGGCTATTCTCATGATGATCAATATGTATTAAAAAGTTGCTATATCCCCAAAGCTGTGTTAAATGCTTGCAATATTCACAACAATCCTACATTAGTACCGGTGTTAACTTCTCTATTTCTCTTTATTTTTAATCAGAAAAAATAGGGGAAATAATAGCTAATCCAAACCCAGATATTAAGTGGGAGAACGGATTTAAATTCAGACATCTGGCTCTTCCTCCCATGGGTTTAACCAATATGCTGTACTAATTTTTGATAATATCTCTAGAGAATTTTGTTTATATATGCCCTATGGTTCTGCTGCCTATTTATAATAGTTACTATTTTTCCAAGGTGGAAGAGCTCTTGAGGTCAGCATACTTTGCAAATTAAATTGAGGAGCTGAGACAGGAGTTGGACAAAGAGAAGTTTGGGTGAAGTATTACACAGTGTTTAAATAGGAATATAAGCACATTAAAAATGTAAGAACAATACATCACATAGAAATTCAAATCACAATACAATTAATTGAGAGCCATGTGGTGACTAACTGGGGCTGAAGTGCTGTTAATATGTTAAAGATAAAAACTACAGAGAGTAACCGGGATTGACTTTGGATTTCCTGGTAGTGAATGCAAAAAAAGAATGCACTCTCCATCAAAAAATATTAATCAAAAAATCAGAAGGTCAAGAGATTACTTAGTAAAATATATTTTGGAAAGGCAAGTCTCACTGCTTTCCAAAGGCTCATAACTGAAGAGGTCGAGGCTGTCAGTACACAGTATGCAAGTGAACTTACTCTACTTGAAACAGTAACTCAGCCAAAAGGAAAATGCCAGCATTTGAAAACAGTTTGTGTTGTCCCTTCTATGTGTCATTCTCACTCTCCTGTCTTCTCTTACCATTAGTAGTATGTCTTTTCTTTGTAATTTTGTTCTTTTATGGTAAAAGTCTTCAAATCCTCTTTTGGAGGAAGGCCCATATAAAATACATTCTATTTCTTTTGTGTTGTTCATTATCTTTAATTTGGAATAAATTTAATCTTAGAGAAAAGTTGCATTTGTAGTCCAAATGTATTTTTCCTGAACTATAAATGAGTACATTGCTGCGATGATGCCCCATTACCATGAGATAACCCAGTCAGTCTTTGCCACATGGGTGTTTTCTCTACACAAGCACAATACAGCCATCAAAATTAGGAAATTAATAGTGATACACCATTGCTATTGGATGCACAGACCTCAGTCACATGTCTCCATTTGTCCCAGTAAAGTCTTTTTATAGTGAAAGGATCAAATCCAGGACCCCACATGCATTACCTCAGTACCTCCAACTCTAAAGCAACACCACAGGGTTCATTCTAATTGTTTCTTTTTCTCCAACAGTGAGAACCCTGTGTCTTTACACTCAATATATTTGTTATTTGGATCATCCCTCACTGCCATAGTAAGTGATTTCCATTTGCTCCCTCTGCCCATCCCCTGACTCCCTGAAACAAATGTTTATCTGCTGTTCCACTGTCCCTCCACCTTCCTGCCTTTCCATGGATTCTTACCTCGCCCAGACATGCCTAAT